GGGGCTGTGGGGGGGGGGACCAAACAACGTTTGCATCTGGATGGTGTTACTTCTGCATAGATATTCAATTTAATTGCAAAAATAATCTCACCGCTGGCAAGGAAGTCGGTGTAGAAAATTGGTCTTTTGGATGCAGTACCAGCTGCTACATAAACAATTTTTTACAAAAAAGCTTAAAGATTTTAGGAAAGCTATTACATACGAAAGAAATGCTTACTGTTTATTTACTTTGAGAAAATGATGGAGATTAAACGTGCGTGTTCCATCAGGTAATGTTCCTTCCACAGGATTCCACCGGCTTCCAGGAAAGGAGATGCCAGGTAAATGCTTAGCTACCTTGGGCAGATACCACTCATAAGTCATCATCTACCATAAAAAAATTATAAATAAAACAAACGGTTTAAAAACTTTAAAACAAAATATTGCAATGCACAAAAGAAAGGAAAGGAATAATCTGCAGATTTGCACTGATTTTAAAAATAAGGCTGGATTTAAGGAAAAAAGTCCCTACAAATGCAGATTTATCTATAGATTGGAAATGGTACACAAGGTTTAGATGCATGCTAGGCAATGTGCTTTGGTTTTGCAATAGGATAGCAAAAGTTTGCTATACAGCTTTATTTTAAACATGCTTTCGATGCCCTCTCTCACTTGTGACAAAATGAAATAAGAGATCTTTTCCATATTTAATAATTCTTCCCTGTTTTTAAGGCTACCGGGTGAACAAAACCGGGTGTGCAAAACACCACAAATATAAATAGAAGAGGAATCAGAAAAGCAGTTCTCTGTTTTATATAAAAACTGCAACTAAGAACAGGGAAAAACCTATCCAGGGTATTGCAAAAATGCACCAAAAGCAGGGGAAGAGCTTCACTATAGCAAAAATCCTTAGGAGACAATGCCAGGGCCCATTACTTTGGTCCAAGTTTGAGGCTGGCATGCACGTCCCTTCTTTTAGCATCTTCCAGGTGTCTTTCAATCCCTGGACTTCTTCCTTTGCTGAGCAGCTGTAGGAGATGCAATTCACTAACTTCTGGAGCTCTGCCTCATCCAAGTAGTTTTACCCAATACTCCTGTAGTCAGGGTTCAGGCAGCCTTTCCTGCCTCTTATCTCTGTTGTGCAGGCAGAGAAGAGGGGATGGAAGCCAGACAACTGGCCAATGCCCCTCCTTGCACTGGCAGCCCCTGGGTTGCTTCTGGTTGGGCATTCCCTCTTCTTCCAGGAAAAGCAAGATGACCTGTAGGCAGTGCTCCTCCCCAAATATTGGGAGGGAGGAGGGTAGCAAGAAGAGGAGGGTGCATGTAGAGAGGTAACATCTCATTGCAGTCAAGATGGTCTTGGAACAAGGGGAGACGGAAGGAGGAACCAGTCTTGCACAACAAACAGACATCTGCAGTGCACT